TCCCTCATTTTGACTAGGTTGGGAACGCATGCCATGTCGCGGACGTTGCAAATTGCTACAGAACTTTCAAATGCATTTGTCTCTTCCTTGCACGTCTTGCGCCGCTCACTTCAGACATGCTCCTACGTAGAACTATCAAATGTAATACAACTATTTTTAAGTATTTGCTTCATATAAGATAGAATACGTCAATATGTCAATTTTTCGGCCTAAACCTATTGCATCAACATCGTTGACAAAATCTTGGAATTCTCTAATTAAACACCTAAGAATCGACGATCAGCATGGCAACGCCGCCGATTGTTATGATCTCTGGTTAATTTGCGCCTTAACAAAATGACACGCTTATACCGATAATTCAAATAGGTAAGGTACTTGAAATATATAAAAAATCCAATTAAAGTGAAAGGTGCGGGAACAGCAAGCTAAGAAGTGACAGAAAATACTCCGTATAATTATATACCCAATTATGGTACCAAACAAATGTCCTTTATTCTATAATACCTTAATCCATAAAAACTGCATTTGTGACGGAACGCTCCATATAAATAGGGTTCTGGCAAATTCCGTTTTTACACCGGGCAAGGTAATGAAAAATGCGGAGCACTAGGATGCGGTCAAATGTGGGTTTTCAACAATTTCCAACTAGCACCAACCACTGAACGCATTTGCCACTATGTTGTGTTAGTAGTGATTTGGTTCCGTGAAAATTCCCTATCTGGTGTCTTTTACTTTTTACTCAGAAGAGTATTTTTCAAAAAATTTCTGGTCTGTTGTTTAGGTGCATATGAAAGATGGTGAAATCGCCAAACTGACTGTCATGAAAATGCATATTGGAGCTTTAAAACGAGTTTTTAAGAGATCAAAAAGACTAATCAGTTATTAAGATACCTGGACATTTGCGTTGTTGCTATCCGCTACCAGAATCTTTGAGTCTCTGGTAAACCACGCTCCCTGTGGACAGCCAAATTCCGAAGGACCCCTGCCTCGAATGCCAACAGTAAACAGCAGACCGTTCCTGCTCCAACTTAGTTTGTCCGCATAGGCTCTCTTGGGATGAAAATGTTTAACGGGCGACCTAGCTGAGTAGGACCGCCTAAATTTTCGAACTGGACCAAGACGCATTTCCGCCTGCCTGCTTATTTCATCGAAGACTGACTTCCATTCCTTAGCTAGCGGTCCTGGCGTGGGAAAGCATTGTATTCGGTAGGGCGAACCGCGGATATGTTCGCCTAGGACTTTTATGTTCGCGTCGTAGGTCCCTGGATAATAAAGTTTTAGTTGTATACCCAGTGTGTTTGTCGTGAAAGGTCCGTTCTTGTCGACTTCGGAGACGATTATAGCTTCATTCGCATTAGACAATCTTGGAGTTAGTGAAACTGTGAATTCGTCCGGATTGATCAGTTCAACATCTCGGCCTTGACAGTCAATTGCTTTAATCTTTTCAAAAGTCACCTGATTTACGTTGCAACGAATTACTCCCTGTGAGTTTTCTTTTAAGAAACTTTTCAAACAGGTCTGATCAGCATCAACGCTAGTTACACCGATAGCTCCAAAATTTTTGATCAGGCTTAACAGTTGATCCAAATCAATGGGGAAGTAGGAAAGAATGTCACTTGCGGATGGATGAATGGGCACTGGCAACCCCAGTGCGGCACGAAGTTCTTCCTCAAGCCTTGCTCCCTGGGCTGAAATTTCCACTCCGTCCAGACTTTGTTTTCCGCCTACATCCACAGTACCACTTTTAGAAAGATTGGCCTGCTTGATCACTTCCACGTTCATTTTAATTTTCTGGCTCCTCTCTTCTAATTCCTTCATCAGCTTTTCTATAAGAGTTCGGCGCTCTTCCAAAGACTGATTTAAATCAAGAATAAGTGCTTTTCGTCGTTCTTCCAGACATCTGCAAATCGTTTGGAAGCACTGCTCGATCTGTCCGAGGATTTCCTTTTTCGAAGATTCCAGTAAATACAACGCGTCTTCCAACTCAACACATCTGTCTCGTAAAAGAGCAAGAGCATTCGAAGAGAAGTCAGCAAGTGGGGGAAGTGGCGTTTTCCCATACTTAGGGCACTCCATGTCAAAACCCATCCTCAGGATAGACTGTCTTCTGTTGAATGGCTGGTAGCCGTGCATCGTACGTGGGAATGCATACCATCACCCCATTCGTCGTCTGCCCAAGGCATATATCAACACATTTTATCTGCAGTATCTTGGCCGTAAAAATTAATATTAGTTATTTCTACTTACTTTTTAAAAACTAACCAGAAACAGAGGTGGAATTGCCTTTCAAGTTGTTCAATGAGCCGTTTGTTTAAATGAGTAGCAGTTGGCTCGTCTTCCAAAGATGTTCAGGTCAATCCGCAGGGCGGCTTTTGCAGCGAGTGAGTTTTCGGACGCTCTTGGTTAGCCGTTCTTACATTAGTTCTTCTTCCACACACTCTTTTTCCGGGTTTCATCCCTGCAACCGATGTATTAGTCTAAATATGAATCCTGTGGTGTCTTCTTTCGGCACCTGACGTCTTCTTGATTTTACTGAGTTATAGAGCAGCTTCCTGTAAGTGAGTGCGCGCGATTGCCCGCAGTAACAGTTAATATAGGCAAGATCGCACCACAAATCCTTTTTCTCGCGACTTCTGCCACTGTTCCCCGACTAGCCTTCTGGTAGAGACCATCCACTGTACGTCACGGACGATCACTCAAGGTAACCGGCAATCGAGTCGGCAAGCAAATTCGATCTCCCAAAATGAAATGACAAAGCTCATATCCAGTCGATCGAAGGACCTACATTTGTATTACGGTAGTATCGGACGGGCATCTGTCTGCCCCGCGAATTGTTTGTTGGGTCCAAAATGAGATAGCAGATCAGCATCATAATATTAAACGCGAAGAGACTTTTAAGTCTGCTTATAGCGAAAGGGGAAGCTAAATGGTACGCAAACTAAGACTGAGGAGCACAGGCGTAGGCAAAACGTCGAGTGGGGAGTCGGAAGAGCGTAACATAAACCTCTAACCTAGCTCTAAGTGGGTTCGTCGTGCAAGGGTCAAGAGAGATTCGGTAGTAGCATGAGTCGTTGTAGCAAGTATTTGACACTACGCAACATTGATAGCATAATGCGCTGCAGTCTTGCAGTTGTTTTTGATCATTGTATATAAGGAATCCCCAGGTGTGAATAGATTTGGCAACTATTTAATGCCCGGTTAACCATCTGCATACCCAGTAACTGACCAGCTTTTCACTAACCCGGTCATCATTGTTTAACAGAGTAGGAATATGGTAGCCTTCTTGGAAGTAGTCAGTTCGTTTGTATCTCGTAGCTAACGGTTCATCCCTTCTTTTGTTCACAAGCTTTCCCACAGTTCAAGCGTACTAATTATGCGAGTACGCGCAAGTACCTTCTTCTGGACGAGTCGACAAAATTGATCTGCCAGGGCTTCACTGGAAAACAAGGGACATTCCATTCTCAGCAGACGCTGACTTATGGAACAAAGTTGGTTGGTGGCGTTTCACCGGGCAAGGGCGGGAAGACGCATCTCGGTCTTCCTGTTTTCAACACCGTTGGGGAAGCAAAGGAGGCCACCGGCGCTACAGCAACTGTTATATTTGTCCCTCCGCAGTTTGCCGCAAAGGCGATCGACGAAGCTATGGAGGCAGAAATGCCACTTATTGTTTGTATCACAGAGGGCATACCTCAACATGATATGATTCACGTCAAGCATCGTCTACTTCGGCAAGTATGTTCCTTTTTACTGGCCACATTCGGTAAATAGGATTTATTTTGTTGGTTTCCCGACGAAATAGTTGAACTTTCTTCCTCCTGGCTGTCATTTCTCTGCTTAACGATCCTCTTAGCTAGTTCCAGTTTTACTGTGTTTTGTCCCGCCATTCCAAAAATAAATTTAAGGAACGCCTAGTCTTTCATTCGCATACCTAAAACTACTCATAGATTTACTGTCCTTGAGTTTTTAATGCCGTAAAGTCCCCCCTGAACCAGGATCTTTGGGGACTATGCCACTACGACTTTGGTGTAAAAGCTTAATTTGCAGCTCGGCGCCCACGGTTCATGTTTATTGTGGGAATACGGCCTCCATAATCAGTACTGGAAAGCAACTAAATGGATATCTGTCGCCGTTAAAAGCTTTTGATATGTCCTGGTGGCTACTGAAACGCTGATTTTGGTTTTCCTTTCCGGATCATACCTCTGCAGCGATTCAGATTCCAGCTCATCCTCACATCAAGATGGTTGAAAGTAACTCTGCTACTTTCTAAAATGGCTTCTGTAAATGATAGTTGTTCACCTATATTTCGTTCTTCAGTCGAAATCGCGTCTTCTGGGCCCAAATTGTCCTGGCATTATCAAACCGGGCGTTTGCAAGATCGGTATCATGCCTGGGCATAGTCATTCACCTGGCAGCATCGGAATCGTTTCTCGTTCAGGAACTCTCACCTATGAGGCCGTTCACCAGACCACTCAGGTTAGTTTTGCATCTGTTAAGCCACAGCGCGCGTCTCTCGCTAATCGTGGTTTCCTCCTGTTTTAATAACGCCCCTCTGGCCAAACACTTGCTACACCTTTTCCCGTTTTTTCATTTCCTCATCTTTCCCTGTCGTGAGTTCCTTCGGTTAGTGACATGCACTCCATCCAGTTGATCGATTTCTACTCTGTTGCACATTTGTACCCAGACAGTGATCGACTTGAGACGATGGAATGTAAGCATTTATTGTTGTTGTTTCCGAACTTCATTTCAAGCGGCTGAGTACGTAAGTACCAGAGGACGCCCTGTGCCATACTTCCAATCAATCCTAGGCCTTTTTTCTTGCTGACGTGGCATATAAACTACGGCCTGGTTTTATTTTCCAAATTCCTTTTCTTTCCTACCTACCTGTGCGTCCATTCCTTGTTGATTGTGTACCCATAAATTACTGGAACCTCGAGACGATGAGGCCTGCCTGTTATCCGGACTGCGGGTTACCTGCTGTGTCCGCTGATGACGTCTGGCCGTACTGGCTGCAACGGTGTGCCGCGGAATGAACGGCTTGCCGAACTTGGGGATTTGGCAACCGTGGCCGCTCTGTGATCTAAATGCTTAGGCCATAGATGTGTCACAAACCGAACTGCTATTACACCATGACGGATGTTCTTCATTACCCAACAGGGTTTTGTCCGCCGCCATTGCCTTGCTAGTTGGAATCCACTCCATAGGATGAGTTCGACTCACGGTCCCGCCTGAACTATAACTGCATGGTCTCCCTTGTACTTAAGGCTTTCCTAATTGGAATATTCTGCGGCGTCTGTTGAGACCGACCATTCCGGACATCCACTGGTGTGCTGGATATAAGGCAGATAAGCTAGAATTCTTTTCAGCCAGACCAGATTTGTCTTGCCAACCAGAGATCGCACATAACCACTGTGTGCACCCCTCTCTAGCTATAGTATCCGCATTGTTTACAGGAAATACCTTCTCACAAGCCCTTCGCAAAGACAACCAACATGCCAAAATGCGACAGCTATCGTCATTATCCCAGCAATTTGTATGACAGTTCCCGCAAATATGCCACCTCATCCGCCCTACATTCGAAGTCGACAAGGTGCTCATGACAGCCTAGTCTGCGTCCCTTCACATCTTTTGTATATGGGTAATTCATATTTACCAATGTAAGCGGAATGGCCCTATAGCCTCTCGCGCTTGACGCGTCGATTTTTGGATACCCATTCTCTGACCGAAAGGCATAAGTTGCGTCGTTTTGTAATAGTACTGATCGCCGATACACTTAAAAGAGTTGATTAGTAATTCTTCTCGCGAATATTATCCGTTTACCTCTTCGGACTCTGAAATAATTCATCGGCGGTATTTACTATTTTGGCCGTTTTTTGCACACGCAATTTGCCGTCATGCATCTGCACTCTTCCTGACTATTTGGTCCTTTCCTGTGCTCCAATCGTTTCGTGGCATATAGTAATATGCCCTTACCTTCCAGATTGAAGTGCTTTATGCAGACTGGCTGTGTCTGTAAACTGGCGTAAATTCAGGGGCCTTTCCACCGGTGTGTCTGGCCTTCGAGCCATGACCGTTTTTCCATGCGGGGTCTTCTGTGCACGTTTCATCGGATTCCCAACTCGGAATATCCTAAAGAGGTTGCTAGAGGGCTCTTTCCTGTGTAACATAAAAGGAAAGACACTTTCCTGAGGACTTTTAACCACCGCTCCACACATCACCACCTTCACATTTACTCTCATGATTTTTTCTATGTAAATTTATGCTTTCTCCTGTAGGCCGGTCTGGGACAGTCCCTGTGCGTTGGTATCGGTGGCGACCCCTTCAACGGAACCGACTTTGTCGACTGCTTGGAGGTTTTCCTTCAAGACCCCAATACGA